AAAATCGCGGGATGAATGACAGAGCGAGTGTGTGTACATTAGAAGGTGCGACGTGAGGGTGACGCGAAGCGAAACGACGCTCGATTACGTATGCAGCGACGCAACGCGACGTGATTCGGCCGACGTGTCCGTGAATATGCTGTACTCTGACTGCGTAACTTTCGCGACAGAATCTGAACACAGCCGGATTGTTACGTATTGTGCACCAACAGGAGCGAGGAGGATAAAGAGAGGTCGCGGGCGGATCGCGTTAATATAGCGGGTGAGCACGTTAATTGTTTTATAGCGCAAGAAGGACGATCATGGACCTCGATACCGGACCCGCACTTGGCGCAACACACTGCAATCAGTGTGTCACTGTACACCGGAAATCGTGCTGCGAATGTAATCGTCACGATATGACCGCGCGGTTAGTCGTCAATCGATTGATGATCGACGGGAGACAATGCACGCGTGATACCGTTTTACGATGTCGGGACGGTGTCGCGTCCGATACCCGACACCTTGGCAACTTGTCGCGTCTGCTTTGAATACTAAATCCAGGAGAAATCTTCCCCTCTGTGTATAAAGCGGAAAATCGTGTAATTTTCCATCTAGGAAATGATACAACATATATGACGCCAACTGTATGGTCAGTCACAAAAAGATTGCAACATTTTTTTTTTCGATGATTCTCGTAACGCATCTCATATAGGAAAATGTATCTCCTGAAAATAACCGAAAACGAAATTCTCTTATTGGATTCGGTTCTAAAATTTATTTAAAAAATATTACTTTTTATGATTGATCACACATACCTGGGTAGTCAAAATTGATAGTAGCTCATAAAAGTTATTACAGCTTATAAAAAAATCAACGTTATTCGAGGCCTGGAGAAGCGCTTAACTCGCGCTGTTAATAACGTGTTAATTAAACACGACTCTCGATGGCTGCCTCGATGCACCGTAAGGTGTCCGGCTGGAGGTCTTCAATATTTGAGTTTACTCAGCCGCTCGGATGTACACAGCCGAGTCGATTAAATACCACCGACACGTGACGTCGACTCGGCTAATTTACGTGTCTCAGATACTCGGCTGTGATATTAATCGAGGCCTCGATAGAAGGGGGAGGGGGAGGATACGCACGATTTCCCGGAACGCGGAGAAACCGCTAACACGCGGCGCGCGCCTCTTACGCGCACTCCGCTCCAGATGCTTCGCTCGCTCGACGAGCGCGCAAATCGCGCGATCCGTGCGTTTTCCAATCAACGATCAACCGCCGCTGACGATCTAATTAAAGCTCGTACCGACATTCCGCGCGTTCCGCGTGTAATCGGTTTAAGCGTTTGCACGCCACGCCGCTTAATTCTAAGCGGTCTCTCCCCCTCCCCCAGGCTGCGCGCGCCGCGGACGCGTAACTTGAATATAAATTCCCGCCCGTGCACTTTATTTACGCGCCTCGTGAATATGCATTCGTCTTAAGACCAGGTAACGAACCTACCCACGAGCACGCGAGCCTGGTTAAGCAACTAATTAAAACGCCGTCGAAATTAGTCGTTTCTGCGCGAGATTCCGCTTTTTATTGCGTTTCTTCTCTGTCACTACTGTCTTCTCCGTTACATCGCCCGCCATGCGTCTTTACCGGTCAGAATTCTTTCGTTTTGTTATCTGAGAAACAGTTAAATAGGCAACATCATATCTCCCGGACGCTACGCAATATTAGAAGTCACGCTTTGCACATCCATAAAACTTCGTGAAACAAGAAAAAATTTCCCGGCCACGTTGCACTTGTGAAACAATCTTACCGTTGGGCGTACATATGGTGGGCATAAGCCTAGAAATACGCAACAACGTGTAGGAATGATTAATATACTACCGCGCGAGCCACGATCGATAGATAAATTGCGTTCGACGAGCGCTTTCTTCCGTGTATGCGCGGAAAGAAAATACTGTTGAATCAATCAAATTTCGAACAGCAGCGTAATTGGAGCAAATCTTCATGATTAATGACAAATATCATTAAATATTAATATTTTACGAATTGTTTGTATAAAAACTGCCAAGTTTAATGAAGTATTAATTTTAATTATTGAATATTTAATTTTAGTTATTGAATCAAGAAGATTTACTCTCAATTACGTGTGCCGTTGGAAATTCTGTAGCAAAATTCAATTCAATAGCATTTTATTTCTATATGGGATGTTACATTATTATCATTGAGAAATGTTCGGATGTAAAGCTTCAAACTAAATTGATAACAATTTCACGTAAAAATATTGATACAGGAGATGTAAATTATGCAATTATGCGAACATTTCATATCATAATAGAAAAGATAATTCTTCAGGCTATCAAGTTCGAGGAATAGCATAAGTAAAGATACACCGATTGTAAATCAATTATTTCATTAAATGTGAATCTAAAATAAAACATACCCTAAAAATATCCTTTTCCTATTAATTTCAATTTCAAAGCCCAAGAAATATAAATCTATATAATAATAGTCTATATCGCGATTGTAAACAAGATTTTTCTCGATCTATGCTACAATGTTACTGTAAACACCATCGTCGTTGAACAATTGTAAATACTCGAGCGTAAAAATTAATAGTATCGATATCGATTTCTCTTAGCATAATATTTCTCAATTTTAGATGTAAACGTATCTATGAAAATTAACATTAGCTACCTTGGCATTAGCTACCTCGAATCTAATCTAATCACCTGTTGGATACGAAATGCGGTGCTTGTGATTACTCGACAGTTCTCGAGCAGAGAATGCAACTGGTCGGGTATCTTGTGAACAGCTTTTTTTACAACTGCGTATTAAAAAAATAACATACGTTATCGCTAATGCGATAACTGTTCGTCAGCTTGGACAGTTGCTCACAAGTCGATGTATCAAGTGGAAAATACGCTATGGGGAATTGGGGTTCTAACGAGTCCGTTCTTTCGAAAGAGGCCCTCGACGAATACGTCGAGTTGACGTACCTAAATAAGACCGAAATTCTGCGGTGAGTGCAAACGTTTAAAACTTGATGTATAAGTTACTGGAACATTGTTGCAACTAATTGCCCCCCATTCACGGTTCACATGCACACTTAGTCGCAAAACAGTTTAGCAAAATAGTGTTGTCCAACTTCATGATGTGTAAATCGTTTTGCGAGTGTATAATCAGTCACGAGAAGGTTGCAACATTTTTTTTTACGAGTTTCGCAACGTATCTCCAACAGGAAAACGTCTTTCTTGAGAATGATTAAAAAACAAATTCTCCTATTGGACACGGAATGCGTTTCGAAACTTATAAAAAAAAGTGTCGCAGCCTTTTCTGACTGATCATACATTTCGCGGATACGATTTATGTGCCGAACAATTAATTAAGTTAGTTAACTAATGTATATTTTTCAGAATTTATGAACTCCTTAGCGATTTAGAACCAGGACAACTTGAGCAAAATCTTCATTATCGTTTTTCCATAGAACAAATTGACAAAGTTCTTCTGCAGATTCGTGTGAGTCTCGAATTTCATCGATATCTTATCAACGTTAAGCACTTTTTCATTTTTCAAAGGACCACTTTGTCTAATGTCATATAATATAGCGGAGTAATAATTGTTAGAAAGAAGGATATTCAAGCTTTCGACACGAAAGAACGTTGTTTCGGATTATTGCAGTATGCAACTTCTGTTCTAAACATCGTATATATTGCGCGGCAATAAATCTTTCTTAAGCGATGGTAAACTACTAGCATTTTTTTCAGCGAACCAGCAATTTCTTCGCACGAATAGTGATAAACTGCGACGGGATGAACAATACAAGCCGTGCTCTTTAAATGTAACACGAAATGTCTCGAAATCATCGACCTCACAATGATCAAAATCGGTTCATTAAAACTTGATTAAAATAACCACTCCGATAGTAGAGTCTTCTTAATAGTTTTTAACAATTTCAAAGAATTGAGACTCTGCAGGCGCCCGGGCTGAATGAAGACATTTTTTCAGTGCAGTCCATTTCGCGACTCGATATATCGGGTGTTCTCGTCGAAGCGGGACGGATGTTTAAGCTTCGAGGACACTCTCGATCTCTGCTCGGCCTTCTCCGCGAATTGTCCTCGGGGCATCCGAGCTGCATGGGCTTTTGAGATTTTCGGTAAGCTCGCGGACGGAATTGAATCTACATCCAGCCTTTTGCGTGCATGTGTGTGCGCGCACGGAACTCTAACTTTTGTCCCGGCAAATATTTGCCGGGCGCAGTCCACTACCATCCTATGCGCTCATTAAACATGCCCGCGGACAATACTTCAGTCGTCAAAAATATAAGCATAAAATCCTGTTGTTTAAGTTGTAGGAAAAAGTATCTCATTACATAGTACAGTATATCATCACCATATTTACTAGAGTATCACATTTTAGTATGTATAGAAATATATTATTAGTATTTACAATATACTCGCGCACAATTTGCGAAGCAATACGAACTTCATTGAACGTATGTAGTGTCTTTAACAAATTGTGACGAATATACGTTTACAAATTTAAAGATTCCATGTTTTTCCACGGATTTTTTGTTTCCGTGGAAAAATGAAAAAAAAGCTAGTTTTATTTTAAACTACAGTGTCAATATAGACAGGGCCTCATAAAAATAAATCGGGTTATGTTATGGTTAATATAGAACCAAATGAAACCTTGCATGATTTCCACTTGGTCCGAGAGACACGTCATTTCCTGCTATTTAATTTTCAGATTTATTTTCACCAATTCGCGATAAAAGTCGTGTATTTTAATATTATATAATGCGACACAATTTTTGACGGGAAGTAAAACATGTCATATAACGCAGAATTAATTTCATATTTTGCATATTTTGTAAAATTATAGATGAAAATTTGATAAAAATTATATACATCGGTGCTGACATTGTACAATGTAATTTATTATACATATTGTACATATTATAATAATTTTGAAGCAATATTTTTCATGAAACGAAATTTTACTAATCGTGAAATAATTGAACTCTTTCTTGAAATTATTTCAAATATATTTAAAAAATTCCGATTTTAAAATAACTGATTCTTGCTGACAATAATTATCATATTTTCTGTTATATATATTGTCTCAATTATTTATCGTTCTTTACAATAATGTCACTTCGTCCTTCCTTTAATTTTTCCATGATATGCTTCATGACATAAAACTAATTCGTTGATTGTACAAACACATACAACGCGAACTGCTTCAAGTATATGAAAGCGCAAGCAATAGCCACATTGATGTCTTCATTTTCAGATTTCGATGGTGACAATCATATTTCTCTTGACGATCTGATGGAAACAGTACAGAGAGTAACAAACATAGATGAGCACGAACAGGAACAGGAACATAGCAACCCAAAACGAGTACGAGACATAGCCGAAAAGGTCAGTGGATACTTCTTTCTGGAGCTACAAAGGATAAATTCGGGAAGCGATTAATCCTTTTGCCGAACCGAGGCCGCTTTTCTATCGTAGCAAATTCCCAATGGCCATTGTTGGTTCCGTGGCAAAAAGCAGATGAATTGAAAGGAACTGACTGCTGCGAGGAGAACTTAATTCCATGAAATTGTATTCCCAATCAATCGAAACAGGACATTGTTCTTAAATTCATCGAGTTCCTTTCTATTCTCTTTTTAAGGAAAAAGAAATATTATTCTAGTATTGCAAATGAAATAAAAATATTGTTATGTTTTTAGTAACTAACACTATTCCTCGGCGAACATATGTCTTCTTTACCAAGGATTATAAGCTTCAATATGTTGTTTTATTTTTGAGAAAAATTCTGTCAGCTCCTTTCAATTCATGTATTTCTCACAGAATTACGATGAGCACTGATTATAATAATTCATAATAGTCTACAATGTATTCGTTCTTTTAGATTTTGCGGGAAATGGATCTCTCTGGGACAGGTAGCATAGTGCTCCAAGAGTTTGTACATATGGTCTCCAGAATGCCAGATTTCGCAAATACGTTTCAATTTAAAATTTAATAAATGTAATTAATAAAACCGCAAAATATAATACAAGGAAAACAAACAAAAATTTTTTAAATTTTTTAAATTATTTTACTTACTACATTCGCTAAAGAATACACTGCATCAACAATGCCATCCATTATTTTCCTTAATCCAAATTTGATCTGAACCATTGTTCTCGGTATAATTTGAGGCGCTGCTGAAAATTCAACGAATTTATCTGGGAATTACATTAGCAAAATCAATATAAAACACTAGGAATATTAGAAAAATTAAATAGTTATTACTGACAATATACGTTTTCATTCGTTTATTAACAATAATTAATATATTATACAGTAATCTATTGTCTCTTTTTAAATTATATATATTTAATATTAATGCATATAAAAAAGAATATGTATATATATGAGCATTCTTTTATATATATATATATGTGTGTGCGTGTGCACATGTAAAACAGTTATAAATTTGACGTTAACTAGTGATGATATGATATGAAGTGTTGAACTAATTATCGTATGATATTATAAAAAATAAATATGTATAATAATTGTTATATTTATGTTTCATTAAATCAATTTTTACATTATTCCAATAAACAAATTTACAAGTATTAAATCTCAATAGTATTATTTTTGATTTTGTACATACAAAGGTTAAAATGAAATATGCTGGAAATTTATAAAGGTGATTTTAATAATCATACTTATACATATACAAATAGAAAAAATATTTATTACAAAACTGGGATTCGCATAAAAGTATTGTCATTTATAAATTAATTAGTTAAGAAATATAAAATTATTACTATTATTCGGCCTGCGTTTTATTTGGTAAATATTCGATACAAGCGATTTTAGAAGCACTGCAAGTATTTTTTTCTTAAGCTTCTTTATATTATCTTATATTAAGTCGCTTTATATTATCTTAATTTTAAAGTTCAATATATGTTTGCTCTTAAAACAACACAAGGCTTAGCTATTAAGTTTTTGATTATTACTAGAATTAAATTTTTTTTGTTACGTCTTTGTTTTACCTCTGGACGTTTTTAAGTGTAAACCTTGAACCGGCTTAGGGAATTTATCATATTTGGCATGTCCACCAAAGCCGTCGAAAGTCATGCCACTGTTACTAGTTTTCTGAATTAAATACAAAAAATTATGATTAATGTAAAAAATTGTTTTACAATTATTTAAGCTTAAAGCACAAGTACAAATGCTTGAAGACAGATGTATAACATAAGATATATAACATAAAAAAAACATACAATATCAATTTATTATAACTTATGGAAACATAACGATCTCACCTGAGAACTTGATTCATTAAATTTCAATTTTTTCGTAAGTATCGAAGGTACTGTTGTGTTATTATTAATCCTTTTTATATTACGATTCGTCATCGAGAAGAAGCCTTGCGATTTTATATTCTGTGGAGTATTTTCCGCGTTATTCTAAAATGATAATAAATATTAATACATTGCAAATCAGAGAGGTGAGTCGACGTCTTTAATGTTTTAAACCTCGAGAATCGTAAATGTCAATTTGTCTCTTTAGGAAAATAAAGTATTATATTTAAAAATCCTATTTACTACCTTCTCACACAAAAGATAATATTTTAATGAACATCATATTAAAAACATTATTGGTATAATCATTTTGTTTGAATTTTGAATAAAATATATACATTACAATTAAATATGCAACCTGCGGTCTGTTAATTTGAGCAAAAATATATAATAACAAAATTAAATATGATTGGTCACAGATATTTTTTTTCTTTTTCTTATCCCTTCAATAATTTAGTCAACGTTGTTAGGTATACTCACTATAATCACGATACAATCACTATCTTCTTTATCCTTCAAAATTATACTATTACAAGAATTTGTTGTATGTTTTGTCGCCACTAAGTCAAGTACTTCTTCCTGCTCCTTGTCACTTTCTTCTGGACACTGTTTAATCTCTGCAGCTATTTTGCATTTACAGTTACTTGCTGCAGTTTGTATCTCAAGAAGTTTAGTTTGCATGCTTGCTGCCTCTTCTTCATGATACTCTAACATTTCTTTCAATTGCCTATAAAAAAAAACGATACAAATCCAGAAGAGCAATAGTACATAAATCGTAGAACGTTATGTGCATAATATACCAGGTGTACCGGTATGAAGTGAGCGTCAAAATACAAATGTCTCGATAGGGAACATTTATTTTGAACGGGCCTTAATTTTGTTTTGTTTGGTTTCTATGACATCTATCAAACATATTCAGTTTACATCAAGTTATTGAACAAACAACATCATATTTTTTCATCGTGTTAAAAATGTCGAATTTTGTACCAGAAAATGATGATTTGCGGAAAGCATTAATTTTTTGTTTTCATTTGAAGAAAAGTGCTGCAGAGTCGCATCAAATGCTTGTCGAGGCATATGGTGATCATGCTCTATCAGAAGCAACATGCAAAAGATGGTTTCAACGGTTCAGAGATAATGATTTTGATGTGAGAAATAAAGAACGTGGAAAACCACCAAAAAAGTTTGAAGACACCGAATTGCAAACAATATTGGATGAAGATGACACTTTGAGTCAGACACAAATGGCAGAAATGTTAAATGTTGCACAACAAACAATTTCTGACCGTTTAAAAGCTATGGGAAAGATCCAAAAGTCTGGAAAATGGGTGCCACATGAATTGAATGAAAGACAGATGGAAAACCGAAGAAACACTTGTGAAATTTTGCTTCAAAGACACGATAGAAAATCAGTTTTGCATCGAATTGTTACTGGCGATGAAAAATGGATTTATTTTAAGAATCCTAAACGGAAAAGATCATGGGTTAATCCGGGACAACCATCAACTTCGACTGCAAAACCAGATCGATTCGGCAAGAAGACAATGCTGTGTGTCTGGTGGGACCAGAAAGGTGTGGTGTACCACGAGCTCCTAAAACCTGGTGAAACCGTCAATACAGATCGCTACCGACAACAAATGAGCAATTTGAACTATGCATTGATCGAAAAACGACCAGAATGGGCCAGAAGACACGGCAAGGTAATTTTGCTCCATGACAATGCACCTGCACACAAAGCAAAACTGGTTCAGGATACGATCAAAGCACTCGGCTGGGAGCTGCTACCCCACCCGCCGTATTCACCAGACTTGGCTCCTTCCGACTACCATTTGTTTTCATCGATGGGACACGCATTGGCTGAGCAGCACTTCGATTCCTACGAGGAAGTCGAAAATTGGGTGACTAATTGGTTTGCTTCAAAAGACGAACAGTTTTATTGGTGTGGAATCTACAAATTGCCTGAAAGATGGGAAAAATGTGTAACTAGCAATGGCCAATACTTTGAATAAAATGTTTTTTACTTTCCCATTAAAAAATAGTGTTTTGATTTCACAAAAAAAAACGCTCACTTCATACCGGTACACCTAGTAGCATAAACGGCGGGCAGAATTGACATAACTTGAACATAAAAAATATCTTACAATAAGGGTAATTTCTATTTATTTTGCAGCAATCTAATTTAATATCATATTATATTATATACCTCATCTTATTTCGAACTTGTGACAATTCTACAGATTCCTTCTTTTTCGCTGCTAATTTATCCCTTAGTTGTTTTTTCTGAATTATACTATTATCGAGTTCTCTGAAATATATAACGATTCAGTTGTATTATGTTCAATGCACATATTTTAAATATTATGTAGAACGTGTAAATATAAAATACCTTTTTAATACCGATATATATGTCCGTAGTGTGGAAGGGTCAGAGCGATTTGATTTCATCATATCGTCTACTTCATCTGCAGAAGCATTTATCAAGGTTTGCACACTATACGAAAATATAATATTTAGAAATAATATTAAAGAATTACGCATGTTTTTTTATGGGAAAATAACCATAGCCACTTTTCTATAAGAGATATGTGATTCCTAAGAAGATATATAAACATATTCTTTGATTAATCATACAATTTTAAAATTTTAAGCAATAATATATCTATGTTTCTAACAAAACTAATGCATCAAAAATTTTAAATTTACAAGAATAATTTTGAGAAATACAAACCTCTGCAATTTTTCTAGTTCCTTGTTTAACGTTTTGATTTCATGATCTTTCTCTGCCACATCTGCACATTGCAGTTTAAAATACTGAAGTTGTTCTTTAAGTGCAGCAATTGTACTATTTTTATCCTTCAACTTTTTTTCAAAGAGTTTAATTTGCTGTTCAAGTGGCACTATTTTCAACTCCAATTTCTCTTTGCATTCTCTGAGGTTCTTGGTTTCTTCTTTTCCTAGAGTTAGCTGGAATCTTAGAGAATCAATTGTACTCTGCAAAACTGTATTATCCATTACAATGGAATCATCGTTCGAGAAATTAAAATATATTCTGTGTATATGTTTTGGAGTTGTTCTTTCACGACATTGCGGGCAAGTGTTTGACCTATAGAAACAATTATTATTAAAAAATAAATTATACTTGTACATACAAGCAATGGTAAGAAGAATAACAATTTCTAATAAATAACGAGCGTGTACGGAGAAAAGAAAGGCGAAATTAAATTATGTAAATGAATACAGAAATATTTTGTAATGTTACCTTTCAAACCATTTCTGTAAACACTGGAAATGAAAAATGTGTCCACATGGTGTGTGGTAAACATCATCGGACGGTACGAGTAATTCACTACAAATTACACACACTATATTCATTTTATGTATCAAAATTGAGCGAGAGCTTTTCGAAAGATTAATGCTTTTCTTGTTACTATTTAGGTACGTTGACTGAAGGCACAGATATAAACATTTATATATAGAAATTGCCGGTTTCCTTTCTTCCTGCAAAATGGCCCGGGTGGAAATTGCCGGTTTTCAGCAAGAGATGAATCAAACAATGCTAAACAAAGTGAGACAGAAAGGAAACTTTCATAAGAGTGTTATATGATTTTGACTATAAAAGTTTCAGCGCCATCTTCCGAATAGATGCGCAAATTAATATCCCCAACGTCACATTTATATCCACATCTAGTATAGTGCTGAACCGTGGCTTATGCAGGATCCACATTGCACCCAATATCCAACGAACAATCCCGGATAGAAAGGATGTAATTTATAATTGTTTATAACTTTTATGAATTTGTTTAAACAAATTACATGCTACATAAAACTATGTTTTGTTTTAATAAGATAATAAAATAATATTATCAAAATTTTCCCATTTTCTTCAAAAAATACACGCAAATGATTAACTAACAGCGCGCCCCGTCCAGCTCGCGCCGCGTCCAGTTCGCGCCGCTGCATCGATGTAAACAAATGAACGTTGTTATTTAGCTATTGCGAGTTACCAACTTCTTTTTTCACTCATTTATTCGAAATTGAATAAGGAATGGAAATATGTAAACATTATTGTCGCAACTGATTGAAAAGTACATGTAATTTCTAATCGTTTATAACTTTTATGAATGTGCTTAAACAAATTAGATGCTACGTAGAACTATGTTTTGTTTTAATAAGATAATGAAATAATATCAAAATTTTCCCATTTTCACCAAAAAATACACGCAAATAATTTACTAACAGCGCGCCGGGTTCAGTTCGCGCCGCTGCATCTATGTAAACTAATGAACGTAGTTATTTACCTATTGCGAGTTAACAATTTTGTTTTTCACTAATTTATTCGAAATTGAATAAGGGGTCGAAATATGTAAACATTATTGTCGTAACTGATTGAGAAGTACATGTAATTTCTAATCGTTTATAATCACCTCCACTGGGCCGCTGCGCGTCGATGTAAACAAATGATCGTTGTTATTTACCCATTGCGAGTTACTAACTTTTTTTTTCACTCGTTTATTCTAAATTGAATAAGGAATCGAAATATGTAAACATTTCTGACGTAACTGATTGAGAAGTACATGTAATTTCTAATGGTTTATAATCGCGTCCAGTTCGCGCCATTGCGCTTCGATATAAACAAATGAACGTTCTTATTTACCTATTGCGAGTTACCAACTTTTTTTTTAACTCATTTATTCGAAATTGAATAAGGAATCGAAATATGTAAACAATACTGTCGTAACTGATTGAGAAGTACATGTAATTTCTAATCGTTTATAAACATATCCAGTTCGCGCCGCTGCGCGTTGATGTAAACAAATGATCGTTGTTATTTACCTATTGCGAGTTACCAACTTTTTTTTTCACTCTTTTATCCGAAATTGTATAAGGAATCTAAATGTGTAAACATTTTTGTAGTAACTGATTGTGAAGTACTTGTAATTTCTAATCGTTCNACAACACACTAATGATGCCGCAGCCACCGTATTCCCCAGACCTGTGACTTTTTCTTGTTCCCGAAATTGAAGGGGCACATGAAAGGACGACGCTACGCTACGATTGAGGAGATAAAGACGGCATCGAAAGAGGAGCTGAACAAGATCACAAAAAATGATTTTTTGAAGTGCTTCGAGGATTGGAAAAAACGTTGGCACAAGTGTATAATATCTGATGGGGATTACTTTGAAGGAGACAAAATAGATATTCATGAATAAATAACTAATTTTTGAAATACACAAAATTCGCAATACTTTTTGAACAGAACTCGTATATACTATTTATATAATTCCAACTATGCTGTAAATAAACTGTCATTACTTGAATATTAAAATATAAATAAAACATTAGGTAATAAAAAGTAACACAAGTAGGTAGCAAAAGTAAATTGTTACAAGATATTAACTTCTTTCCAATTAATTTTACATTCGACGTTTCTTCAT